TTCAGAAGTGCTACGAGGACGCTTCACTTTTGGGATCAACACAATGTTAGTATTATTTACACGACTCGGGGAAGTAAGACCATGAAAAATGCTACTAACAAAAGCATACACATCAGTGCTAACAATATGCCGAAAACGCTGATAAAATATAGTATGCATACCGTCAGGACCAAGCGCCTTGCAGGGGTGCATCTGTTTTAAGGTCGTGAGAACTTCCTCCTTTGTGAAAGGCCTGGTAAGCTCGGCATTAACATCCAGAGAGATGCAAGGACTGATAATCTGGAGAACTTCTTCCATGGTGATGTCCTAGGGGTCGGAAGATGAGAACAAGCCCTCAAAGTGGCGCATAATGATGCTTTCAATTTTGTCATCGTCGGTTTGCCATTCGTCTTCATTATCAAGAATTCCACGAATGAAATTGCGCTCTCCCCATATACACCACATAAGAGTCACCATCTTCCAAGGAGCGTTTCAGAGAAGTGAAAGACACATTCTTATTGGTACTAGAGCTGCTGTCATTCCAAGGTAACCTTCTCTACCTAGGCACACCTTGTTTCTCCAACATGAGCTAGTCATCATTAACTAGTACAAGAGAGGAATCCTCTCCCACCCTTGCATTGAAAAAGAAAAGCTCCCCTTGTCCCTGCACCGCATGTTAGATCACAAGAACCTCAAGAAAAGTAACCATCTGATCATGGTTAAGGGAAGATTTGGGTTCTTTAATAGTTAGGTCAGAGGTCTCATTTAATTGTTTCTCCTCAGAGCGCTTAGTCACAAAAGAAAGGGACTTGGCAGCCTTAAATTTCTCCATGTCTTCAATCTCCTTAGTTCAACCCTTCCTCGGTGTGGCTTTGAGCAGAGCACTCCACCCCAAGTTTGATTATTTGTCATCCTCTGACACCCTGTGGTTGGCAATATCTTTCCGAGTGCCCCATGATGCTGCAAGCAAAACAGAAGAAGGGCAGCCTCTCATAGGTAAAGTCGACCCGCAATTCTCTCCCCTTTTGATCCTTGATAGTCTGGTAACGTCACAGGGGTTGGGTGGTGTCAAGCATAACCCGAAACCCTGCGATATCTTCCTTTCCCCAATTCATCTTCTTCAATTTCAAGAATCTCCCCCATACCTTCAATCAAAGCCCTAACATGTGCATCCAATCTGCAATTAAAGGAGAGGTTCTTTATTCGCACCCAGATTGGCAAATTCTTAAATTCCACTTCTTCGCGTTGTTCGCTTCCTTCAATTTCATTCAACAGCACTAACATATTGTCAAAACACCATGGGAGACCCTTCAATACCTTCTCCATGTCTTTCCAATGAAAGAATTGGAAAGCAAATAAATTAGGTTTTAGAACCCTAATTGTAATCCCATGAGTAAGTGCCCAAACTCCAGTAATCGTTTTCTTAAATGCCTCAACGTTATACGATCGTTCAGTCAACAATTTGCCCAAGAGCATTAGGGCTAGATTGTTTTTGTCATCATCGCATTCAATTGCGCCTAGGTCAATAGCAGTTTTCTCCTCCTCCTCAATGCGAAGGTGAGAGCACAATTCAGTAATCTCCTCTGCCATAGCGCGAAAACATAGCAAAGCCGATTGAAAACTCACCGAAAACCGGAGAAAACTATCGAGCGATAGAGGACACCCTTTTTTGCGAGAGAGAGAGAGAGCCCAATCTTTCAAGGGAGTTTTTCTGTATGATTATCTATATAGTTCTCATTAATATAATTATATTGTTGAATATGAACATGACATAATTTTAAATGAATATTGTGTTTGCCCTATTCTAAATGCATCCCAATAAGGCTCCGGGCCCCGATGGTATGCATGTTCTATTTTTTCAATCTTTCTGGCATATTATTGGTCCTGATGCCGGGTCTTATGTGAAGAAGTGGTGGAGGGGGGGGGGGGAAGTGGAGTTACATGATATTAATAATACTTGCATTGTTCTTATCCTTAAATGTAATGATCCGACCCTCATTTTTTAGTGTAGGCCTATTAGCTGTTGTAATGTCATTTATAAAATTATCAGTAAAACAATGGCTAATAAATTGAAGGGTTTTTTTTTGAATGGGATTATATCTCAAAATCAAGGTGCCTTTGTTCCGAAAGGTCTTATTTTTATAATGCTCTAGTGGCTTTTGAGATCTTCCATGCTATGAAGAGAGGTGGGAAAGGAAAGGAGGGTAGTTTTGCTTTGAAGTTGGATATGAGTAAGGCCTATGATAGAGTGGAGTTGAACTTTTTAGAGAAGGTGATGGAAAGAATGGGATTTTCTTCTTCCTGGATTGGTAGAGTTATGAGTAGCCTGAATAGTGTAAATTTTTCTTTTAAAATAAATGGGCAGATTTCAGGTTATGTGACTCCTACTAGGGGTCTCCAATGGTGATCCCATATCTCCTTATCTTTTCTTGTTGTGTGCGGATGCTTTTTCAACTCGGATTAGTAAGGCGGCGAAGGATAATCTTATTCACGGTGTTAGTGTGTGTAGAGGTGCTCCCCGTGTTTCTAATCTTTTCTTCGCCGATGATAGTATCCTTTTGCTAGGGAAAATGTTCGAGAATGCTCTGTTACAGCTAATATAATTAGCAAATATGAGAGAGCATGAATCGGATCAATATGTCAATTTGAGTAAGACAGAAGTGACTTTTAGTAAAAAGGTAAGTATGAATCGTCGGCAGGAAATTATTTATACATTGGATGTTTGAGAGGTGGATAGACATGAGAAGTATCTTGGGTTACCGACTATCATTGGTAGATCGAAAAAGGCAATTTTCGCAGGGCTAAAAGAGCGTATCTAGAAGAAATTACAGGGTTGGAAGGAAAAGCTCCTCTCAATGCCGGGTAGGGAGATTCTTATTAAAGCAGTGGCACAGGCTATACCTACCTACATGATGAGTATTTTCAAAATTCCGGATGGTCATATAGATGACATTCATTTGATGTTGGCTCGATTTTGGTGGGGCTCCTCGGATTCTATAAGAAAGCTACATTGGCAAAAGTGGGAGTTCTTGTGTAAGCCGAAGAAGTTTGGAGGTATGGGGTTTCGTGATCTACGTGTTTTGTAATACCCTGTATTTTTATACGTATTTTAACTTAAATAAGTATTTCTTAAAGTATTTAAATAACTCGAAATCAAGCGTTGACTGGCTGTAACAGGCGAGCAGAAATCAAGCAGTTGTTTGTGAAATACACAGATGGCTGACCGGCTATAAAAAGTTGGGCAAGAAAGGAGAATTCTGGAAGGTACACAGGCGGTTGTCTGATAAGTACACAGGCGGTTGTCAGATATTCTCTCTCTAGAACGTTTGTCTCTCTCTCTCTAGACTTTTTAAAAATGACAAAAATAAGGGGGGGGGATAAAACCCTATTTATAGAGGGGTAAATTCAGGGGCATTCCTGTAATTTCCACTAGAAGGTGAACAGTTAAAACTGTTCACCAATGCCTAAGTGACAAGTGTCACAGGCGCCACGTGGCATGCCACGTCACACCTGTGAGGGGCAAATGTTTTGGGTAAAAATACCCAAGCCACGTGGCCCAATCAGAAGGTGATACGTGTCACCTTAGGAGAGGTTCAAAATGAACCAATCCTTAGCTGACACGTAACACTCCCAATCAGTAGGGAAAAAGATGGCCTTCAGGGCCCAATTCCCGAGAAAAGCCGCAAAACGGCGCAACCCCCTAAATCTAGGTCAGAATGACCTAGATAGGGGCACATTTACCAATGACCCTATAAATAAGGAGATTCACCCCACTTTGGGGACACGTTCATTAATTACAAGACTATCAATTCTCACACATCAGAGAAAACCCCTGATCTCGGAATCCGAGAAGATTTACCTTTATCTTTTCCGCACCTTTTTCACTTTCTCCGTACACGTTCTAACTTGATTGTCGGAGGCGGAACTCCACCCAATCGAAATCTCCGTTGTTTTGCAGGTACAGACGCTGGCCAGTGTTGGTGACGTAACTCTCCCGAGGGACACAGAAAACCCTGAAACAGTACTCTATTTATATTCTTGGCCAACTTATGAATGAATACAAGCTTAATCTTACAAATATTTCTCAAGCCGTATACACCTAGAATGAATAAAGAGTTAAAGACTTACTAATCTTTATTGTCCGTTAAGGTGTACTTTCAACGAGGTTTGTTATCATTAAATGTTGCTATTGTCCAAAGAATGTGATCAGCCTGCAACGATGACGAATAATGTGAAGGAAGGGCTGTGTGCCGCGCTCTACATGTTGTGTGCTGGGTGTTGTGTGCAAGCTTTGTTTCGTGTACTGCGTGCTGATGCAAATTTGGTAAGATATGAACGAAGAGAAAAACAAGAAAAAGCAGGCTAAGATATGCATTACTTCAACTCATCCTAAGTAACACCCTCAAATTAAGGAAAAGTGTGAGAAAATGCTTGCTATGCATTCTGTAGTGCTTAACCCGTTTTCTTTCCTCGTGTTTTCCCTCTCGTTTTTCTTGTTTTGAGGTCATAAAGTGTGTAAAAGCAAACTTGTTAATGTATTGAACACATTTATAGCATTTTAGGACTATTAATGATTATCCTTAAACTTAACTAAGAAGTCATTTTGATGGGTAAATTGTCTGTTTTGACTATAAAATTAATGTCCACATTATTTGTACTTCTAAAATAGAGATGATTCCTACTTCCTCCGTCCCTTATTGATAGTCCCTTATGGCCAATTTTAAGTCCCAAAATAATAGTCTCATTTGCTTTTTTCAAGTACCATTAATATTAATTTTTTACCAAAATGCTCTCCAATTTGCAACAATATTTGTGCAAATTTAATTTTTCCATGTATTTTTATTACTTTTTCTCTCTACTTTTTTGCATATCCAATATAAATTTATCTTTCCAATGTACTTTTACTACTACTTATTTATGTTTATTAATTCCCGTGAAAATTGCCCATAAAAGACTGTCAATAAGGGATAGGGGGAGTATGATATTACCATTAATGTCAAATTTGTCCTCAAGTACTTATCTCGTTTTCTACTGCCTATAAAACCATCACCCTGCATTTTGACATAATCACAACACTTTCACTAAGATAAACTCAATTCACAAGAAGTTACTTCTTTCAATGAGTACCTATTTTTCCTCCCAAATAAGGGTACTAATGAAATCCTACTACATAGCAATTTTGTTCTTAATGCTAAACTTAGTTGTAACAAATTCTACTAAGTTACCTTCACAAGTAGATGTAGGTGCATCTCCTGTTTCAGCCATCTTTGCATTCGGAGATTCAATAGTCGATTCAGGAAACACCAACTATCTTGCCTCCATTGCAAAATCAAATTACTGGCCTTATGGTTGTGACTTTCGCCAAGGCCCATCCGGAAGGTTTTGTAATGGCAGGACCGTGATTGACATACTCGGTAAGCTATGTGCATAATCTGCCGTATGATATATTATTCTTCACATTTTTTCTTAATGTCACTTAATTTAATTTGTTTAATAGGAGAAAGGCTAGCCATACCTTATCTTCCAGCGTTTGCAGACCCCGCTGCCATCGGCTTAAGAATTATTAGGGGTGTCAACTATGCTTCAGCAGGTGCTGGTATCCTTGATGTTACTAGTCGACATTGGGTAATTTCTACTTCCTCCGTTTTTCTAAGATACACTCAATTTTTCATTACCAGATCTATATTTTCATGAATAGTTTCTTATGTTAGCTGACCTCAAATCATTTTGGGACTAAGGCTTTGTTGTTGTTATGCAGGGTAATCGTTTTAGCTTAAGCCAACAAGTATTAAACTTCGAGAGGTCTTTGGATCAATTGAGGAACATGATGACCGGAAGGAATATGACTCAATATCTGGAAAAATCTGTAGCATTTTTGGCATTTGGAACCAACGATTACATCAATAACTATCTCATGTCTTCATATGATTCTAGCTACAACTACAGGCCTCCCGAGTTTGCCAATCTTCTCCTCAACAGTTATGCTCGTCAGATTTTGGTATACATACTTATACTCTCGTCCTGATTTAATAGTCACATATATATACGGTTAAAAATGTCAAATTTCCTAAAATAATACAAGTGGTTGTTTAAGCGATACAATTTCATATAAGGTTGAACAATGTCAATTATTTTGGACACCAAATTAAGAATATAATGTGTTTTCTTGGATTCTTTAATGTAACAAATTAAATCTAATAACGTATACACCTTTCCTTTGGTAAGGCGTTATACAATGTCGGATTGCGAAAATTTTTCATAGTAGGATTAGCGCCTATTGGTTGCACACCAAATCAGAAGGCAGCAAGACAAGCACCTGAAGGGAGATGTGCGGACTATGTCAATCAGATTATAGGTACCTTTAATGAAGGGCTGCGATCACTCGTGACACAGCTTAATGCTAATCATCCAGCCGCAATCTTTGTTTATTTCAATGCATATGGTGCTATGGGGGATGTACTTAACAATCCTGCTGCCTATGGTAAGATTTCTTAAATCATCTAGTTGTAAAAATATTGACCATAATTTATTATGTTAACCAATTAGTCTAATACATAAATTTCGATATGTAAATGCAGGATTTTCGGTTGTTGATAGGGCGTGTTGTGGATTAGGAGAGGTTACATGTTTGCCAAACGCAATTCCTTGTCCGAACAGGAACCAGTATCTGTTCTGGGATGCTTATCACACCACAGAAGCCGCAAATGCTATACTAGCTCAACGTGCTTTCGCCGGACCTCCTTCTGATTGCTATCCTATCAATTTCCAGCAGTTGGCTCTTATATAATCTTAATCAACAATTTCAAACATATGCTTTGTTTCCTTTAGTTTCAGTACCTGGCTTATGATATAAAAGACTTTTGTACCCTGGAAAGTAGTTTTGAGAAAACTTTGAGATGAGAAATTAAAAATAAAACAAGCTTACCATTAATCCAAACATTACATTGTTTCGCACATAAAACAACATAGTTCATTCAATATTCGTAGTCAATTCCAACATGATCACAAAAAAGCTCTTAGCCAATTTTTCTAACACACAGATTGCAAACCTTAAGATGAACTTGGCCTTAATCTTCTTCTAAGTCACCAAATGCGCATTGAGGGCAACATTCCATTTTGTTTTCAAGTTCTCTGCTGATTGTGGATCACATAACTCAGAATACATCTTAGCAACAAGGAATGCCTTAATGCTACCATAGGTAATCAAATCATCAGAAAAATCACCATAACGAACACCATTATTCCATAGAATGTGTCTAGGCTTCACCACCTCCCTTTCTGGCCCAAGTAGTGTCTTAGACAACTTCCCTAAGTCAAGCTTCGTAAACCCTCCACTGTATTTAGGATCTCCAAATTTTTCTTGCATAAAATCTCTGATCTCAACTTGCTTAGAAATCAACAGATCAGTATCGCTTTGGAGCTTCTTCAAAACAGTGTCTATCCCTAACCCCACAACAATGGTTCGATCACTGCTTAGGAAGTCTTTAAGAAATTTGGGTAGTTCGCAGGGTTTAAAACCTTCTTTAAGATGAAAGCTATCCTTCGGTTGCATCTCAATTTCCCAGAGAAGACATTGCTCACCCACACATAATATGATTAAATCATATGGAGCATTTTGTTTGTACCCTGAAATTGTGAAATCAGACCGAATCACAAAAGTTTGTTAATTAATTTAAGCTACTATCATATAAAGAAATCACATACAATTAATTTCACATAACAATCAAGTTAATCTCATAGAAACCAGCACTAAGTCTCAATATAAATAATCAATCATGGATTCATATGATATCATATTCTGTTTTTCAAGGACTTTTGATAACTATCCACTCATAGAAATATATCTTTATCTAGATAGTATTTAATAGATTAATTATCTTCTCTTTCTAGACTCCAAATATCATCATAACGTGTACAAGAAACCATTATATTACAAGAAAATGAGCAAATAAATCAATCCCACAATTAGTCCGAAAAGATCTCATATACTCGTATAATTACACATCATATACTCATAAATTACCCTAAAAGTTTAATCAACCTCGTTGACATCCACATTATTCACATATTTTTCTATAAAAAATACCTATTATGGTGCTATAGAATATGCTACATTTGGTTAAGCTATATTCTTATTATATGGTAAAAAACTTTAAACAACAGATCAGATAGTATAAATTCATGATAAAACATAGAATTGAAAGGCAGGATTTGCGTACATTTAACCTGCTTAGGCTTAAGGAATATCTGTGCTTCACCATCAGAATGGTCGACTTTCCGAATTGCGCAGAGGCTAACAACAAGGGGTTGCTTCTTGTTCCTGTTTCGATGAATCTTTTGAACATGACTGACCCACTCCTTCGCCTTCGACTGCGACTGCTCCGCCCATAGATAGAGTTTCCTTGAACATGTAGCCGTGATTTTGTCTTTCCCATGGTGATCAAATATGTGTTGCCTTCGCGTTCGATGTCAATGTTCATGGCCATCTTTGCTGTTTGATTAATTTCCTGCAATATTTTTGACAAAGAAAGAGCAAAGCAGTAGCAATTTAGCATCATACTATAATCGAATAAGAACAAATTAAATACTGCAGCAAATTTCTGACTAGACATCTTGCTCAGACAGTGGCAACTTCGTTTATGAATTTCTAATCAAAATCACTTTCGAAACAAACAACCGAGTAAAACCCTAATTGATTAATGCTAGGCGATCTTCCCAAAATGAACCTCATTATTTGTACGAGTTGCATCAAAGAATGATAAAAAAACCTAAAGATTACATACAGTTGAACCGAACAAAAACAAGCATCGTGAAAATTTCTGAAGAAACTTGAAAAACTAGGGTTTTACAACGACATAGTTGATGAAACAATTGGGCGTAAATTCAACAATTTTGATGCAATTGAACGTAAATTGAACAGTATATCAGTAATTTCTGATTAGAGTGTAATCAAAACCCTCGAAAATATAAAGAGAAATGTACCTGCAAATTGATGAGCGAACAGAGAAGAAGCTTCGGTGAAACTTGTCAACTCTTGGAATTTTTTACGGGTGTCAATTTTTTACCAGTGAAATTCTGTATCTGAAATGAAATTCTGGATTTGTCAAAAAAAAAACAAAAACAAAAACAAAAAAAAAAAAAAAAAAAAAAAAAGTGAAATTCTGGAAACCGCTTTTACTTCCACCTATAGAATCTACTGGAAGTCTGGAGAACGCTGCGGCGCTAATTATTTTAGGGCCTCTAAAAGCCAACATGAAGGGGGAGGACCATTGGGGGTGTTAAATTAGAGGTGTTGATTAAGTGAACTGCTATTCGTGGGTTCGTAAATTACAGGGTGACGCTCCATTTTTAGGTAAAATGACATTTTTGCTCTTGTGCGTATTTTTTCTATATAAGGGTTCACCATGAGTCACTTTATTTACCGACAAGCTAAATAATATTTCCGAGCCCACCACTTGTGTTAAAAAAATCCCGAGCCCCAAAAATTCTCGGTCCCACCATTGTACGGTAATCCCGAGGAATTTAAAAATCCCAAGGTAGAAACGGAAAGTGTACCGATCGGTGTTTGACGATGAACAACGACAACGTTCACACGCCGGAGGGTTCGTTGGAAGAATCTGTGAGTTTTTCGTAATTTTTTTTTTTTTGGAAAGGGGACATCCGCCCAAAAAATCCGGATGTTTAAGTGCGGATCCGCCCAAAATTTCCAAATCTCCCACTTAACATCCGGAAATTTCATCCGGATTTCAACATCTGCCTGAAATTTCCGGATGTTAAGTGGGAGATTCGGAAATTTTTGGCGGATCCCCACTTAAACATCCGGATTATTTGGGCGGATGTCCCATTTATATAATTTTTTTTTATTTTTTACGTAATTGTCTTTTTATTATTTTTATTATGAATAATAGTTATATTAGTTTATATTATGTATTATTTGTTAAAATTATGTACTTATTATTATTATTATGGTTATTTTTATTATTAATTTTGTTAATATTACTAAATTTTTGTTATGATTATGATTATTATTAATATTATTATTACTATTGTTGTTATTATTATTAATATTATTGTTGTTGTTAGTATGATTATTTTGTTGTTTGTGGATGTTTATTATTTTTATTGTTTTGGTGCGCATAAATTGGGTTGCGTAAATTTTGTTGTTTGTAATTGTTTTTTATATTGTATTATTGTTATTGTTACTTTTTTTTGTTAGTATTACTTTATGTGAATGTTAGTTATTGTTATTATTATTATTATATTAGTTATTATTTGTTAATGTTATGTAGTTATTATTATTAGTATTATTATTGTTATTGTTATTGTTATTATTATTATTATTATTATTATTGATACTATTATTACTATTATTATTATTATTATTATTATTATTATTATTACTATTATTATTATTGTTATTATTATTATTATTGTTGTTGTTGTTGTTGTTGTTGTTGTTGTTGTTGTTGTTGTTGTTAAATTTAAAATACTAATCCTTGCACGTTTTATTTGTTTGTGTTGTAATTTTATCGGATTCGGAGGTTGAAGACGGCGATGACGTTGTGAATTACAGTGCACATTTTGTGACAGACACGGTTTTTCTAACGTTTGAGGATGCAGTTATATGGGCGGATGCTGTTGCAATAAACCTGGGATTTATTTTGGTGAAATCGTCTTTCAACAAACAGAGGGATGGTCGACCATATCGATATTTAATATGTGATCGGGGACGCAGGAGTAAGGCGAGAGATCTTGAGAACGCAATTCGGAAGGACACCAAAACCAAGGGCATTGGTTGTTCTTTCTACATCAAGATATGTTATGAGTTCATCACCAATACTTGGGTTATCCGGGCGAAAAATGATGCAACTGGGACCCACAACCATCCAATGATTGCGTATCCAGAGGGTCATCGTAAAATTAGTGGGTTGAGCCCGAATGCGAAGCAGGTTGTGCGTGACATGACGAAGTCTAAGGTTGCACCGCGTAACATCATGGCGACTATTGCGGAGCAATTTCCTGATGATCATCCAAACATCAGACACATCTACAACTGCCAGAATGGCTTCAGAGCGGAGATGTCTGATGGGAGAGGAGTTGTTCAACAATTTCTACATTTGGCGAGACAGAGTCAGTATCTTTACTGGGTCATGTCTGATGATGAAGGCGTTTTATAGCACGCCTTTATGGCGCACCCAGTCATGGTAGACATCCTACGGACGTACCCATATGTGATCGGCATGGATTCCACTTACAAGCCTAACCGATACGGGATGCCGTTCTTTGAGATAGTTAGTGTGACACCGACAAATCAGAATTTTCTTGTCGGTTACGTGTTCATGCGCAACGAGTGCACGACAAGCTATCGATGGGTTTTGTAGAGGTTGAGAGACGTGATTGGGTATGATAAGGAGCCGTCGGTTTTCTTGACAAACCGTGAGCTTGGGCTATGTGCTGCATTGAGGGAAGTGTTTCCAGGGACCTCGCACTTACTTTGTCGATGGCACATTAACAAAGATGTGGAGGCTCGGGTCATTGCTATGTTCAAAAACAAGAATATCGGTGCGTCTTTCAAAAACGGAACATGGAAACGTATCATGGACGCTGCAACTGAGGACAATTATGAGGCCGCTGTAGATATAATGAAAGATAAGTGGGCAAGTTATCCAGCAGTGATACAATATGTAGAGAACACATGGCTTTGTCATAAAACGAAGTTTGTGACATTTTGGACAAACCAAGTTCTACATTATGGCAACACCAGCACTTGCAGAGTTGAGAGCCAACATTCGGTCGTGAAGATGTGGTTTGATTCCTCAACAGGTTTGGTGTTTGGTTATTGTAGTTCAAGTATGTACTTTGTTGTAGGTATTTGAGTTATAAATCATAATGGTTTTTTTTTTGTAATGTGCAGGTTCTTTGGATACCGTATGGGCTCGAGTTCATTGCCACATTGGTAATCAGATCATCGCAATTCGTAATGGTTTGGAAACTTCTAGGTCGAAGATAGGTCAAAAGTATCGACAGTTGCCACTGTCACGTATAAACGGGAATGTGTCTCAGCATTGTTTGAAGGTTCTCGATGAGGAGACAAGGAGGATGAGGGAGCTGAGTTATCAAGTGCACGAACGATGTGGATGTGCAATGCGTGTGACCCACGGTTTGCCCTGTGCTTGCCAGATACATGATTCGCTAGTTGCTGGGACATGATTGTACATTAGGCAAATTCACCCGTTCTGGAGGACCTTGGTTATTGGTGATGGTGATGACGGGACGGTGCCTGGCAATGACTCGACCGCGGACGCCGCACATTTTCGTTCTCTGATGGATGAGGTAATCGGTAGTGATCCTGCTGTTCTTCGAAATGTGTCTCGCATCATTGAAGAGGAGCTGCATCCGGATCATTTTGATCTCAGAGAGCCTGTTGTAAACCACCAGGTTCGTGGTCGACGAAGAAACAATGATACAAGACGTGATTGTTCTTATTTTGAACATGTAAACCGCCAATACACTGAACGTGGTGCACGGCAAACATGTACGATTAAGTGTTGTGTTTTTCGCATAAGTCAGCATTTACTAAACTATTAACTGAACCCTGAATTTGTAAATGACATTAGCCTAAGCCATTATCGACACTCGCTTCCAGGGCCGATGTTGCCTTACATCACAGGATGGAAGGATGTCATAGGCGATGGAAACTGTGGGTTTCGTTGTGTGGCCGAGTTCTTCTTCGGTGATCAAGGGCGATGGTATGACGCTCGAGAAACAATAGCGAATGAGGTCCTCGGTTATCGAGCCCTTTATGAGAGGATTTATGGGCTTGGAAGACTTGAGATTAATGTGGAGCGTATTCGATGGGACAGTGGGGCGGTTGATTCCCGTCATTGGATGGCTGTAATTCAAGATTTATTTCCTATTATGACTTGGTTCAACGCAGTGGTTATTATTCTTGGTGTAGGGCAAACACCAACCTGCTACTACCCATGCCTCACGATATTGCCGTTGCGGGCAAGAAGGGGGGTCACGGCACCGGAGCGAGAGTTTGTCATCGCAACAGTTGGGGGCTCACATTTTATTTGTATTGAACTTGCACCAGATTCGCTACTTCCCCTGATTGCAGGTTGGTGGACTGAGAACCACGACCCAAGTGTTGACGGTTGGGATCAGCGTTACGCAGCTAGAAGGAACATGTGGGATGCCTTAATTAGATACTGAACATATTTTTGTACTTTTCATTTATGTTAAACAATTGTAGTTATGTAATTTGTAACGAAATTAACTTAATTAAACAAAGTTTCAACAAAACCACAACAATAGTTGTTCAATCCTTAAAATACATGACGAATAAATAGTATATGTACGAAATGCGTACAAGTCAAATAAAAATTACAAAAAGCAAGTTCACAACCCCATCATCGCCCTCCAATCAGCTCGTAGCGCCTCAGCCATTGCTCTT